TGAATAAGCCTGAAATTTAATCCTAGCTTGTCTGTGAGCACACACAAGGAAGGAGTGTTCGCATCACGATGTGCACACCAGACTGCTGTAACAAGGAGGGTACGTCACAGGGAAATACATTTCCTCTGAATTAAAATTCAAGTGGGCGGGACCCTACCCAGAAAAGCAGTGATGCCTGAGATGGAGGCAGAGATGATGACGTGAGAGATGGAGCAGCTTGGGACTTCAGACACAGAGATTGAGAGGGGCTGTGTGCTGAAGACCGGGGGGAGGGGTATGGGTGGCAGGCTTGCAGGGTATACCCTTTGGTTGGTTGATGATGCTTGGAGGGAATTGTAACCATGGCAATGAAACGATATATGAAAGAATGAATGTAAAACTAACTAATGTTCTCCCATGTAAACTATCACATAATTCACAAGAAAACATTAAAAAAAGAAAAAAAAGCTCTCATGACCATCCTATGTCCTTTGAGAACATCTATCCAGATTACCCTTTTGGAGTTCCAAAAAAATTCACCCTAACCTCCTGGAAACAGTTAAAAAAAAAAAAATTCAAGTAGGCAGTTCAGGGCTGGTGTGGTACCCAGAACCATCAGGGACCCAGGCTGTTTGTACCCTGCTGTTGTCAGCCTTCCTAAAGATGGGGTGCTATTCCAGTGAGTGCGGAGAGGTGAGAGGAGACAGAACGCTCCACCCCTCTCAGGACATCATCCAGAAACTGCCCACATCACTTCTGCTCACATCTTATTGGCTAGAACATAGTCACATGACCCAACCTAACTGAAAAGAAGGCTGGGAATTATAGCCATGTGAACACTGGACAGCCATGTACCCATATAGAACTTCCATTACTGGAAAGTAGTCCTAACCGAAGCACCTCCTGTCAGTCACAACCTGTCTGTCAGTGGAAACTGGCTGGCAATCTATTGAGTCTGTTCTAGCAGGTTCCAACAGTGTCCAGAGTAAGACACACCAGGAAAAAAGACCTGGCAATCTACTTCTGAAAAATCAGCAAATCGATGACAACAGACTAGTCCCATTGTAATTGGTCACCGTGAATCAAGTGCCAACCCTACATCAGCTAACAACAACAATACCCCGTGGACACATCCATCACTCTAGAAAAAGAGGAGGCTGAATGCTGTGGACAGCTGCCACGTTGTGGTCCATCGGTGTTCTTTTGGATTTACAACGCGTTGTTCCTTCATTAACAGCAACCTACTAACTGTTTCATTAGCAACCTGTGAGATGCAGATGACACAACCCTGCTTTCTGGAAGTGAGGAGGACTTGAAATACTGACTGATGAATCCCAAAGACGACAGCCTTCAATGTCAAGAAAGCAAAACTCTGCAACTGAGCCAATAAATAGCATCATGATAAATGGAGGAAAGTTCGAAGTTGTCAAAGACTTCATTTTGCTTATTTCAACCATCCGCACTCACAGAAGCAGCAGTCAAGAAATCGAATGACATATTGCATTAGGCAAATCTGCTGCACAAGACCTTTTTAAAGTGTTGAAGAGCAAAGATGTCAGCTTGAGGACTAAGGTGCGCCTGACCCAAGCCATGGTATTTTCAGTAGCCTCATATGCATGCGAAAGCTGGACAGTGAATAAGGAAGACTATAGAAGAATTAGCGTAGTGGTTACGAATCGGGCTACTACTAATCTCACAGTCAGCAGTTCGAAACTACCAGCTGTTCCATGGGAGAAAGATGAGGAGTTCTGCTCCCGTAAAGATTTACAGCCTCGGAAACCCTGTACAGGGTCGTTATGAGTCGGAACCGACTCCACGGCACATAGCAACAACATAGAAGAATTGATGCATTTAAGTTATGGTGTTGGAGGAAAATATTGAAAGTATCATGGAGTGCCAGAAGAAACTCCTTCTTTTCTTCCACTTTGAAATCTGCATGTTGAAGCTAGCAACCATTTCATCAGTAAAATGTCAACAGCATTTCACCTTGTTCTTATGCTGAGATTTCCAGACACTTGTCAGTGGCCACACGCTAACTTTGCCCTTGGTGCTGTGGGTTTCTTCTCCGTTTCTGTTCCACCTAGAATCCCTGTTTCACTTGAACAACACGATGGTCTCCACCCCTCTGCTCAAGTTGTCTTTTGTTTGAGCAAGTTGTCCAGTTTTTCCACTAGATCCTTTAACATACGTTCATAGAAGCCAAGGGGCCCGCAGGTCTCCTGGGTGGAGGCATCCCACTGAGAAGAACTTGAGGGAAAGGACACACTCTTTCTTGTTCCAAACACACGAGCTGGCCCACATTTGGCCTTGAAGAGTCTGCTAACATTTTAGCCGATTTCTCCCTCCGCTCACCTGAGGCAGGATACCGCTTCTTCCCACAGTCTGCAGGGAATGAGAGTTGCGTGTCTGTCTCTCCCTGGAGGCTTTGAGGCTCAGTGGAACACAACCCCTTGATTCTCTTGCACCTCGCTTCTGTGATGAATAGTTCAATAAAAGTTGTCATGTTGTTGACTCTTTGGCTTTTTCCTATTGTTAAGATTGTTAAGATGTTCTCTTGCTGCGTCATCTCCTTCATAAAGCCTTCCTGGTTAGTATGTTTCCAACGTTGTGTAGCCCCTCCCTCCCCTCTTGGGAACATTTTAATTGGAGGGCTCTTCCCATGGGTCAGCCCCTCCCCGTGTCTGAGGGAGCCAGGTCTTCAGCCTGAAGTGAAAAGGTGCTGGCGTGGGAGGGGGTGTAAGGAGGAGCACGCCTCTTCTGGCAGAGCGTCCTCAGTGGGTGCCCAGGAGGAAGGAGACGATGTTTGCATTCTCTCTCCTCACTGACCAAGATCGAATCGCCATGAGCCCACATGCGATGAAATGATGTAGAACTAGACACACACTACACCCGAAACAGCTTTCCAGTTCATTGATATCATTACATGTGAGGGAGCTCTGGGGGTGCAGCTGCTAACTGAAAGGTCGGTGGTTCAAACCCACCCAGCGGCTCCGTCAGAGAAAGACGTACCTGTTCACCTGCTTCCATGAAGATGAGACCCTCGGGACCCTGTGGGGCGGGTCTCTGTCGGAGCCAGCACGTGTCACGCGGCCCAGCTGCAGGCACCTGACACATAACCTTGGGACAGGCAGAGAGGGATACAAGGGACAGTCTGTGCTGACTGTTCTTACCACCTGTGAATCCCTACAATCGTTTAGAAAGAACAAGAAAACAGATTAATCAGACAATCAACAAACATTACCATTCCAAACTAACCCCCTTTGCCTTTCAGGACTTGGCACCGGCTCCCTTCCCATCCTCACCCCTCAGTACTTAATTTCTGGGCTCTCAAGTAATTCTGGGTATTCTATTGTTATTGCTAAGTGGTGTGGAGTCAGTCCTGACTCATAGTGACCCTATATAGGGTTTCCAAGGAGCAGCTGGTGGGTTTGAACTGCTGACTTCGTGTTTCGCAGTCCAGTGCTGATCCTCCTGTGCCACACCAGCCATTGTTGGTGTTGTTAAGGGTCGTTTGTTACCGAACGTGCCTCGGGAATTCTCTTGGACTTCTAGCGAGGAGTCGCAGATTCAGATGAGGTGTCAGGGACACAAGACAACAGGTTTATTCTAAAGCGAGTGTACTCGAGAGGTGAGCGGGCCCATCTCTGAAAGCCAGTGAGACAGATGTGGATCATGGCTGTCTAGGGGTACTGATTCTTTAAAATGTCCCTCCCTGATGTTCTCCTAGCTCATGGGCTTGTCTTTTTTTTGTCTCCTTATTTATCTTCTTCTACGTGGTTGTTGGTGGTTACCAGAGGGGTAGGGGCGAGGGGTGTTAGGTCTGCTCCTCCTTTCTTGCATCCCTGTTCTAGCACATGGAGTTGGTCCCAATCCATAGCGACCCTATATAGGGTTTCCGCAGAGTGGCTGGTGAGCCAGAACCTTACGGTGCAAACCAGCCTTGCAGTCCAGCGCATTAACCCACAGCCCACACCAGGCAGAGTCACTGTTCATTTGCTCTTGGGAAAGTCTAGGGGAGACCCAGAAGTAACCCAGGCTTGCAAGGTGGACGCTGAGAGGGGAGGGAAGACGGGGAAGCAGAAAGACAAAGGCTGGGCTCCTCCGGGCTTCTAGGAAAAAACAAATTGGAAGTAAGTTTCCGTTCTCTCCCGCTTCCCTCCAAGCCCTCAAGTCATCCAAAGTGCCTCATGTAGGACGCTCTGAGTTGTCCCACTCTGTCTATGCAGCCTGGGGCTTCTGCACAGCCAGGAGCATCAGATGGTGACAGTGCAAAGCCATAAATTTCGCTCTGGCTTCCCAAACGTCTCCCTTTTCCTCTCCTGAGAAGACATTGTGTGCCCTCAGGGTGAGATAAATTATTGTCGCAGACACAGTGTCTGGCCCAGTGCCCAGCCAGCCAGCCAGCCGATAAGCTGTCCTCAGGAAGGAGGGGACACTCTAGAGCTGGGGCAACCTGGTAGAGGAGGAGACAGAGGCTGCGTTAGTGTTTTCTGCTAAATCTGCCTATGTGCTACAGCTCCATCGCCATGACTAAGCACAAGATTGAATGGTCTCAACTGCTCACTCAGGGCCCAATCCAACTTAAAATGTCCTGCGGACGCTACAAACAGTCGTCTTGTCTTTGCTTTCTGGTGGGAGCCAAGGATGCGCTTTTCTTGTGTGTGGTTGTTGTTGTTGTTGTTGTAACTGCCTTTGGACTCTGCTTGGCACTCCCAGGTACTGCCCACTGCCCACTGCTCCCTTGCACGGTGGAGGGAGGGTCTGCTGGTTCCTGACCCTGTGTTTGGTGGTGGTGGTGGTAGTTGTCTGACCCCAGGTGTGCAGACTTAGAATTGCTCACAAGCGTTTTCAATCTAGGCTATGGCCTTTCCAAAGCAGATCTCCAGGCCTGTGTACCGAGATGCCTCTGGGTGGGTTCGAACCACCCACCTTTCGGCTAGTCAGTGAGCACTTAACTGTGCGTGCCACCAGGCCCAGGTTTCCATACTGACAGTTCACAGTGCCTTCTGCTTCTCGTCCAGTTTGACAAGCTCTGGAGCGAGCTGCCCGTCAACGCCAAGGGGAAGCTAAGGTACCAGGACTTCCTGATCAAGTTCAGCTCCGAGAAGCCATTGACGCCACCAGCGTCCGGAGGCTCCACCAGGGCCCAGAAAGGCAGCAGCGTCCCCGAACTCTCGGAAGAGCCCAGATCAGCTCGGTCCTCACCCCTGCGGGACCTGAAGGGAGGTGCAAAGACATGGAGTCACCCCTGCGTGAGTCCCCCTTGGGGCCCGGTGTCACACGCCACCTGGGGCAGATGACAAATCCTGCCAGGGTGGGGCAGCCCCAGGATGGGGTGGGGGATGCACTGAGAGGAGCCCATTGGCATTGTCCTAAGCACTGACTTACCTGGTATGGGGACAGGGACGGGGCCAATAAGAGGAACTAGTACTCGGCGCTCCCATTGTGTCTAAGGTGAACTGCGTGCCACCGGGCTTTCAGTGGAGGATTTTCCAGAAGTCTAT